TCGGAGTAACAGAGACAAATATGGCTGTCAAACCCAGCCTGCTTCTTCTTCTTAGCTAGATAGGAGATGGGACATAGAGGAAACTCTGAGTTTGTGTGTGTGTGTGTGTAAATGTAACAGATACTGCAATAGCATTTTGATATTCTGATCAAGACCAGGGCTCTTGGACACAACATGCTGCAGAATTCCTCAGTAGCCAAACCACTGTGCCCGAAAGACCTTCACACAAAGGTTTTGCAAGAGGGCACCCATGGTGTGATCTCGCCAGTGCGTGGCATTCCCCTCCAGTCCCTCGTTTACCCGCTGGCGCCGAGGGAAGGACCCGTGGTGTGCTGCCGGCGTGTCTGATCACGTAATCACGGATCAAACTGTGCCGGGGCAATTAGCCACGCCTTCCCCCCGCGATATCCAGCCTGTGTGCCCGGGGCCACACGAAGGTTTTGCAAGGGGGGCAGAGATGCATAAGATATCTCCAGGCTCTACAGTATAAGCTTCCCCAGATGCTTGTACTGCTGTATTGTTGGCCCCCCTCCTGTTCCCGACTGCCGACATCCCACTTGGAGGAAATCTCCTGAAATTACAGCTGGTCTCCGGACTTTAGAGATCAGTTCTCCTGGAGGGAATGGCATCTTCAGAGGGTGGACCGCATGGCATTATATCTTGCTGAGGTCCCTCCCCACCCCAAGCCCCATCCTTTCCAGGTACCACAGTTAAATCTCCAAGAATTTCCAGCTTGGAGCTGGCAACCCTGCTCCCCACAGTCCATGTCACAGATGGAAGCAGTCGCGGCATTAACGACATCACACTGGCACCAGCTATGCAACATACATGACTATATTTGCAACACGCGCTCAGGAATCCCCAAATGAAGCTTCCTACAGATATAGTTTAGCTCCTACATGTTGGACCACATCTACAGGTAGACTCTGTGGACTTGTGCACTGTGGTTTGAATCCCATTGGAAACTGTCCCTAACAAAAGAAGGGACAATTTTGGTTGAGCCCTCCTTCCCGCTGCAAACTTCTAACTCACCCCTCTTGCTGTTTTTGTGGGGCATATTGGGGCACATTTTGGGCTGCAGCGGTAGGTAAGGAAATCTCACTCTATTGACAAAAATCCGTTCCATCAACCAAGATTTTTACCACAGGACCATGCCCCGTGTATCCATCTGCTAGTGAGTCCCATGTAACTAGGATTCCTCTTTATTCATACACCTAATCATCAAGTGTTTTGATGGCCCCTTGAATATTCAAATCAATCACGTTATATCTTACTTAGCTAGATTGTAACTATCAGTTTGCCTTCCCCCCCCCCCTTTTACATATTGAGACTGAAGTCCAGTTGCAAAAAAATGCAGAATGTTGTAAAGGTAAAGGTTTTCCTTGCTCGAAAGCCAGTCGAATCCGACTCTAGGGGGCGGTGCTCATCTCCATTTCCAAGCCGAAGAGCCAGCTCTGTCCGAAGATGTTTCCGTGGACATGTGGCCGGCATGACTAGATGCCGAGGTGCACGGAACGCTGTTACCTTCCCACCAAAGTGGTACCTATTTATCTACTTGCAATTTCTTGCTTTCAAACTGCTAGGTTGGCAGGAGCTGGGGCCAGAGACAGGAGCTCACTCCGTCACGCAGCAGTAGGGTCTCGAACTGCCAAACTACAGACCTTCCAGCCCGCAGCTCAGCATCTTAACCTCTGAGCCACCACAGCTGTGCAGAATGTTGTACTAAACACAAGATTCTACTTACTGAGATATCAACTAGGTAAAGCAAGTATTTAGCCTTCTGGCTGTAAATGTAGGCTTGTCAGTGTGCAGGCAATGATGGCTGAAACATTCACAGCCAGATGGGGACTCAGTAGAATTCCCAGCGGTCAAGACATCAGTGAGCACCCTATTTCCCTACCTCTTGACTAGAAGGATTAGAATAAACTGTGTAAAAAGGCAAATTTACTGAATGCTCATAATGTATACATGAGCAGAATTTGGATTGCTAATGGGTGCAGAATTCTGATTTTTTTTTATAGTATAAAGTTTAAACGTTGTATACTTTTACTTCTGCTAATTATATGAATAGACAGAGGATGATAATGTTTTAAAACTAGCAGCTGCAAAAGTTCACTTTTACAATGCAATCATTTGAGAGTTAGTGCTTTAGAACAAGCTAGTTTTGTCTAGTACAGATTGAGAGTTTAAGGAAAAGGCTTATTTGTTACCTGTAGCAAGTAACTGCAGAGTTGTGTCTAGAAAAAGCACTCGTCCACAGATTCAGTTGCTGTTGTTTAAAATGCATCACTTTCCCAACTGAATTTCTACCAAGCTACGTGGAATTTCTATCAATATAGATAGCTGCTTAAATTGGAAAATTTCAGAAAACAAACCCTAATCCTTCAGGCAGAGCAATCCTAAACAGGTCTGCTTAGAATTATGTCCCATTGGATCTCACAGCCAGGAATGTATTCTTAGGATTGCAGCTTTGGACTTATAAAATAGCTTCTTCCTTGATATAACATTAGACTAGCATGCTCATATAAAATAATGTGGGTAGTGTTAATAGAGAAGAGGAAAGTCTTTTGCATTCAAGTGTTCCATCAATAACACTTCTTTTAAATCTCTTGACAACTGCAGTCATGCCTTACGGGCTAACAGTTGCTGATACAGTGTGGGATATACAGGTTACACCTGAGTAGCTTCTGTGCACCAGCTTGTGTGAGCTGCTATGTGCCCCCTCCCCTCTTTTAAATTGTAAGTTAATTTAATGGTGGTGAAAGGCTTTGATTGACAACTGCCGAATGAAGGTCTTCATTTATCCCACAGAAGAGCTATCGTCTTTCTTCGGTAAACATAACCCCTCCCTACAACATGAATTGCCCCGGCCCTTAGAAAATCCCATTCTGCGGATCAAAACATAGGGCAGGTTTCTATTATTTGAAATAAGCAGGCAAACCAATAACCAGTTAAGCTAGACCAAATCTTCCCTTTAACGAGAAAAGCAAACAACAGAACTATTTCAACAGATCCGGAGATTGGAAACACTTCGGAACAAGAAAGCGCAGCTCGGAAAATCTACAACAAACAGAACTATTAATTAAATACCAAAGTCTCATGAAGTCAACTGAGACCCAAAATGAAGGGTTTAAACTATTACTTCACTTATTCTCAAAACAGGGTAGTTCTTTGACGACTGCTAAACAGCCCCTGTGAGAACAGTCGACTGGCACATTGCCTGCTTTACAAATTATTCAGTTTGGTGGAGAGCCAGTTTGGTGTAGTGGTTAAGTGCGCGGACTTTAATCTGGGAGAACGGGGTTTGATTCCCCACTCCTTCACTTGCACCTGGCTGGATGACCTTGGGCAAGCCGTAGCTCTGATAAGAGCTGTTCTTGAAAAAGAGCAGTTTCTGTCAAGAGCTCTCTCAGCCCCACCTACTACCTCACAGGGTGTCTGTTGTGGGGAGGGGAAGGGAAAGTATTTTGTAAGCCGCTCTGAGACACCTTCGGGTAGTGAAGGGCGGGGTATAGTGAAGGGGGGTCTTCTTCTCTTCTTCATGACTGCTACCAACTTTAAGATGATTAAATCCTGGGTTCATACCTGACAAGCAGGCCTTCGGACTCGGCCCAAGAGATTTTTTCCCCTTTAGCATCTGCATTGGAGGGTTCCCCTTTGGCCTATACCCTTGCCTCTGCAAGAGCCTAGTTAGCTTCATAAGGAAGCGCGAGAAGTGGCTACAGGAAGAGGCGTGAGCCCTGTCCTCATGCACGTGCACTTACTAGCTCAGATTCATACCATACCAGACGTGGACTGGGACAGGAGACTTGACTTCACTTTACTTTTCAACTAAGGCATAATATAAACATGTTTGGCTCCTTTGGTGCTGGTTACTGCTAAAGCTAACTCTTTCTTTGAGCAAGCTCTTGAGAGTTCCATTCGGCCTGCATTTCTTCATTCCATATTGACTTGCCTGTCTCGGGGGGGCAAGGCAAGATTTAATACTGATCCAGCAGCGACATCATGGCCATTTTATATGGAGCCATGCAGAGGCTCGGTAGGCCAGCATGCTTATATCCTTACTGTAATTTTGGGAGGGAGGGAGGCGGTGGCAGCGGCATGATGCTGAGAATTAGCAGCTTGGTTAAGACCACCCAATGAGTTCATGAATTAGATCAAACATGAACAAGAGAGTATCTTGCTGGGAAGTCATTCTACCAACCACTGTGCAACACTGGGCCCAGCTAGGGTTTCCAGGTCTCTCAGACCTGCCGGGGGGGGGGGGGTGAACCTACCAGGAGCGGGGAAGAACGCTGAAAATAAACATGACGTGCCTACATGACCAGAAGTGATGCAGGCACACGGGGGGGGGCAGTGTTCTGGTTTTGGGTAAAACTCTATGGTAGAATTAGCTTCTACCATAGAGTTTCACCCAAAAACCAGAGTGTTGAGAGCCTTGCCCCCCCCTCCAACGTCCCCGATGTGCCTATGTCTCATCTGGGTCATGGAGGCATGTTGCGTTTAATTTTGGCATTCTTCCTTGTTTGGGGGGGGTAATTCCCCCCCGGCCAGCTGGCCGGCAGCTGTAAGGTGGGACCCGAAAGCAGGGGACCCCCGCCAGGGGGGTTTGGCATCTCTAGTCCCAGCACTTGGATATGTTCAGGGGAGTTGACTTGGATATTGCTATTGCAATAAAGTGTGAGAACACCTAATCCATCCGGTGCTCCTCTTGGTCCTTCATCACAGATCAGGAGCTATCTTGCAGACATATGAATCTATGAAGCTGACTTATAGTGAGTCAGACCTTGGTCCATCTGGCTCAGTACTGTCTTCTCTGACTAACAGCAGCTCGCTAGCATCTCAGGCCAAAAGAAGAGTCTTTCCTTTTCCATAAAAAACATACCAAGTGGATGCTTCTCCCAACCACTACGAGATAACAGAAAATTTATAATTTCCTTTCATTATGTTACCTGTTTTATTCAAACCAAAGCCCTGTTCCTTTATTTCCTTTCATACAGTCTCAAGATTCTCCAGTCCAAGGGTGACGCCAAGATTAAGTCGAAAGCGAGCATTTTCCATATCCCCATTGTCTGATGCCAGCATTGATCTTCAGACAATGATTCGGACTTCCCCAAATTCCTTGGTGGCCTATATAAATAACTCCCGAAGTAGTTCTGCAGCAAGTGGATCTTATGGGCATTTATCGGCAGGGGCAATAAGGTAAAGTAGAAGCAGAACTGAACGTCCGTTTACAGAGTTTTGTGATCTCTCGCCAACAATGTTTGTCAGAACAACAATCATAAAAAATGGACACCCTGAAGGAAAAGTTATGTGCAGGATTTAATTACTTTATGTAGCATGCCTACATGTAGATGAAATCACTCCTTGATTTCATACGTGCAAAAGGGTTCATTACATCTAGTATGTTTCTTTCACCCTGTGACGATGCTTTGGTAGCACATACAGGTTTTTGTTGTTTCTTTACTGTATCTGCCATGGGGAAATGTTTAATCAAAGAGGGCTATGGTGTGTTGGGGGGGGGGGATTTCTCCACAGAAAGTATTCCTACAAAATGCATGGCAATATGAGCATCTTTCCCCCTTTTAAAAAGTCCTGGTGCCCAACCCCCCACCTGTTTTCTTTACTACATAGAACTCTGCTGTTTAATAATTACATTCTTTACAACTACTGCTGTAATGTAATTAGTGGTATGAGTCTTACAGCCCTTGGAAATATGGGTAAACTAGGAGCAAGGCTCGTTGTGGGAAGAAATACAACAAGCTCTAGAAGGAAGCTCCAGATGAGTGTCCCGACTGTGGCTGCTGGAGCGGCAGAGGGAAGGGGAAAATAGAGGGAGGCAAGCCATGTTTATTTCCTTCTGCTTAGCTATAAGGCAGGGCTGTCTCAAGTCATTTTGCTGCCCCAAGTGGGTACTATGGGAGGACAGCCTCATGGTAACAGGTATGGTTCCCTCCACCCCTGACTTATGTTGATTTGGGGTTATGCAGTGGCAGCTAAGGTAGAAAAGCACCTCCTCCTATGCCATGTATTCTGGGTTCCAAGGGCCTGGAAAGCGGTTCCATAGCCAGTTACAGGGTTGCCAACTCTGGGTTGGGAAATACCTGTAGATTTGAGGGGTAGCTTGTGGGGAGGGCAGGGTTTGGGGTGTGTAGGAACCTCAGCAGGGTATAATTCCATAGAGTCCATTGCCCAAAGCAACCATTTTCTCCAGGAGAACTGATCTTGGAGATCTCCAGGTGCTGCCTGGAGGCTGGCAATACTAAAGGGAGGGCCAGACCTGTAGATTTGAGAGGTAGAGCCTGGGGAGGGCAGGGTTTGGGGTACGGAGGGACCTCAGCAGGGTACAATTACATAGAGTCCATTTCCCAAAGCAACCATTTTCTCCAGGAGAACTGATCTTGGAGATCTCCAGGTGCTGCCTAGAGGCTGGCAATACTAAAGGGAGGGCCAGACATGTAGATTTGAGAGGTAGAGCCTGGGGAGGGGAGGGTTTGGGGTGCGGAGGGACCTCAGCAGGGTGCAATTCCATAGAGTCCATTGCCCAAAGCAGCCATTTTCTCCATGAGAACTGGTCTTGGAGATCTCCAGGTGTGGAATGTTCAGGAGAGTCCATGACCAAAACAGAATTATATATAAGGAGAGATGTAAGTAATATAACAATTGCATGCTTTCCCCACATTTCCCAGGGCTGCAACTGTTTATGAAGGTCTTGTCTGCTCAATGAATCTGGATCCTGATTCACATTTAGCAGCAGATTCTAACTGTATTTGCATGGATTTTTACATAGATAATGACACTCCCAGCCACTACCATGGTGGCTCTTACTTGAGCTGAAAGGCTAGGGAGTGAGACAGTAACATTACACAGTGCACAGATCCCAGTATGAATATTGCTTTGAGAGGTCCAGAGCCCCAAATGGGGCCCAATGAACAGGAATAGCTTGGATTCCATCAGAGCTCTAAACCTGCCCATGTGTAGTTTATATTCTGCAAATCCAGAATGTGCCACAACAAAGTTCACAACTAGAGAGGTTGGTGGGCCTCATTAAAGGAACCACAAAAGATTGGAAGCTGCTCTATACATACCTCCTGGGAAAATCAAAATAAACAAGAGGAAAATGTAATGATTTGAATTGAACTGTCTGCCTCCTCTTTTGTGTGTGTGTTTTTTTTAAATGCAACTTCCCTCTATAGTGTTCCCAGAAGACAGACCTATAGGACATTTCCAAAGAAAAAGCAAGATACCCCAAAATATTGCTATTAGCCTAGGTCCCTTAATTCACAGGATGCAACTCTCCTCCAATGCTCCAGCCGTATATTCTGCATATTGTTCTCTTTTCATCTTGTGATGCTTTTTCTCTCCAGTCCAGCATTCACCTTCCCCCATCCTATCAATCCAGTGACATATCAACAGATTCTGAATCAGCAAAGAGGCCTGAGTTCAGCGTTTGGACATACGCCTCCCTTCATCCAACCATCCCCAACATTCCCTGCACGGCAGCATGTGGCGGTCATCTCTGTCAATTCTTCACCTGCTCAGATCAGCAACACCAGCAATTGCATAGATGATTCCAACCAGGTAAGATTCACATTGGCTTCTGACAGGATTTGACCTGGGCTCTTTATCAACTCATCATACATCCATTAAAATGCATCTTTTCAGTTCCCCTGTCAGTATCACTGCAAGGTTGGATCCCCTTAAACACAGGAGAGCCATGGCTGTAACATCACCACAGCTCTGCCCATTTGGATTATTTTCTTAGAACTTTCTATTCTGTGATTGGACTGAATTCCCTCCCTCCCCCAGCAATCTATGTCTCAAAGGTCATCTATTTCCCTCTAAGGAAGTGAGAGATATTGATCTGCAGTGCTAAACTGTGTGGTTAACTGATACACATCCTTTCATGTATTCTTGTTGTGAGGCATGTACTGCCACAGGGTTAACATAATGCGCACACTTGCCCTGAGCATGAGTCAGGCAGCAGTCAAATGACAGCTTTTTAGTTTACTTGTGAGAACTGAAGGTGTCTGAAAACACATTTGTACAGCGGGTGGAAGACTGAGAGCACCCCAACGCAGGAGCCGACCGAGCGCGCCCGTGTCAGACATGGGCGCCGAGTTGTAACTACCCTGGAGGGAAAGAAACTGGAACCTCATCCATAACATTGATGAAGAACAACACCATGAGTACGCTTAAAGGCAACAACAACAGAAAATCTACCTACTTAACAATAAAGCCCCTTTAAATATTTAAAAAGAGAAAGGAATGGAGGGGGTGAAGAACTCTTTCCTGTCCCACCCCCCTTCCTCCGGCAGCGGCCACGTAAAGAACTTAAGGTGATTTTTAAATGGCTTTCTGGGCAAAAAAAGTAAAGAGAAGGCTTTTGTCTGAGAATGTAATAATTTCCCCTGTGAAATAAAAAATTAGAGAATTGGCTTCAACTGTTTTTGGACTTTAGTGATCTAGAAATATATAGTCCGTTTTTCTCTTCCTTTTGTCTGGAGCTATAAGCAAAGTATCTGGAACAATAGCAAGACTTTATAAAGATTTACCTCCATTTTAAAAAGGAATATAAGCAATTATACTTTAATAATTGGAGTATTTTTAAAGGAAGAAAGGAGAACTGGATCTTACCCTGAAATCTTTATACATTATATTCTCACAACATCTTATACGTTTGTGCAACTGTAAAGCACATTTTGTTTTGATTGTCTTCTTCTGTAATGTAACCAGTTGATAATATTCTTGAACTCTGTCTCTAATATGACTAAAACAGCTATGTTTTGTAAATATCAGTGGGTGTGATTTGTAAAATCGTGCAGAAAAAGAACCTTGAGATTCTTTGGTTTTAACATATGGTTTTAAAAATGGATGACACAGATAGATCACAACTTATGGTGTCAGAGGTAGTATCTTCATTTCAAGACCTCAAAATTTTAATCCAAAACTCAATTACTGCTGCTGTATACACAGCTGTGAAAGAACTTTTTGCCTCTAAGCAAGACAAAATGGAGCTACTGCAACAACAAACGTCAAGGTAGAGGAAGGCCAGCCACAATGGAAGGAGGAGAAGCAAGGACACCTATACAGAAGATATAGAAGAAACCTATAATCTAACCAATATGGTCTACAAAATGAAACCAGCACCTCCAAAGAGGAATAATAATTTTGTAGAAGTTCACCTGAGACTCTATAAAGATACCAATACTGATGAAGCCCTCAAAACACTGAGTTATACACTGACCCAGAGAGAGAGAGAAAAGCAGTTTATGGAATTTCAAACCACTTCAAGAATTGACTACAGATGGCTAGTCCCAGAAAACAACTTCTATACCTATAAAGAAAAAAGACATAGAATTAAGACTTTAAAACTTAAAAAGAGAAACCAGAAGAAGAAGAAGAAGGAAGGATAGGAAAGCTACAAGTTCTGAAAGAAATCTAGAGACTTACAATAGAGTAAGATCCTAAAGATGGACTAAAAATGAGCTGAGAGAGAGAGAGAGAATCCAACTAGAAGAAAATAAGAATCATATAACCATATATAGTTAATGGAAGATTATACTAAAATACTTAGACAAAGGTTAAATCAGTAAAAAATAAGATTTATATATCTATATCCTTGCAAAATATTATATACAATTATATTCCACTAAGGTGGGAAATTGACATAGTTTTAGATTATGTATGAGGTAGACTAATTGGAAAAAAGAAGAGATTGAATTTATACCCCGCCCTTCACTACCCAAAGGAGTCTCAGAGTGGCTTACAAACTCCTCTCCCTTCCCCTCCCCACAACAGACACCCTGTGAGGTAGGTGGGGATGAGAGAGCTCTTTCAAGGACTGCCCTTAAGAGAACAGCTCTGACAGAACTATGGCTTGTCCAAGGTCATCCAGCAGCTGCCAGTGGAGGAGTGGGAAATCAAACCCTGTTCTCCTAGATTAAAGTCCATGCACTTAACCACTACACCAAACTGACTACATCAAAATGATACGTGTTAATGTACCCATTTTATGTTTGTTTGTCTTGAAAATAAAAATTATTTGGACGAAAAAGAAAACATGTTTGTACCCTTCATGCAAACAAACTAGCATCTGTGAGCTCAAATTTTGAGCTTGTGAGCTTGAGTGCCAGGAACTTACTGGGAAAAATTCACGAGACTACTCCCATGATCCATTTGTGCATGGGACAGCAAGCTCAAGTGAGTATGTTGCCAGGTACACATATGTTACATTAAAGGGGTACAAAATCTTTCAAATAGCGGTAGGAATGTACATAGATGTTTTTAAGCTGAACAAAGCTGAACAATCTTCCCCAATCAAGATAGCAGTGAAATGTGGCAGGCTTACCCCCCCCCCACAAACACATCATTAGTCTTTTTGATAACCACCATAATAAAAAAATAAATACATGAATAAAATAAAGTAGAAAATAAAATAAGAAAATAAAAAAAAGAATTGAAGTAAGCTTATGAATGCAAAAATTTTTCTTCTATTCTCCAATCCAGAAGGAGAACTCAGTTTTAAAAACTGAGGAGAAAATTTTCCTTGGCTTCTAGACCTCAGGTATATTTGCACATCCACATGCTCCTGCGGATGTTCGTCCACCTATAGCCACTGTCTATCTGCACTGCTTTGCTTTCAGTGTGATGTCTGTTCAAGTGATCACCACCATCTACATTATGCTATAATTAGTCACAGGTTTTTAAAAACATAAATAGTGGAGGATCAGGGCAGCTGTTTTCAAATATCACTCTGCTCACTGGGATAAATTCCTACTGAAGAACAGCAAAAATCTACTGAATGAATTCTTCTGACCTATCAAATCTACAGCACTTACTAGTAGTTCTTTAACTCCGCTATATTGTGGGGAAATGTTGGCAACAGGGCTACATTTCTTTGAAAATCTTGATATGACCTCAGAATCCTCCCATTCATTTTGTTTCCTTAGCGCAAGCAGAGCAGCGAGTCAGCTGTTAGCAGCACTGTCAATCCAGTGATTAACAAACGCAGCAAAGTCAAGACTGAAATGGAAACCCTGCCACCAGCTTCCCCACCTACTCAGGTAATTCCTTCACTGCAATCTTGTCTCTAGCACTCACACTGAATGTTAACACTATCAGCTAACTGTTCAGGAGATGCTATTAATTTCACTCTTCTCCACACACATTAATAAGGCAGCAAACTTCTAGTATGACATGTTTGTTGCCATGTAAACATGGATGTCACCAGTCTTCACAGTTACATTTATTTGGATGCATTTCAGTCCAGTGACTGGACTGATTTCTCACTCATCCATGTGTCCAAGATCATTGGTTTTCTCCTTTCCACTAGGACATCAGGCCCTACCAAAACTAGAAATAAGCTGCTGGGCACAATAACACCATGTTCCTATGAAATTTCCTTCATTGTAGATTAGGAGGTTGAATTGGAAGTTTATTTATTTGTGGCATTTATATTTCACCTTTCTCCTCAAAAGGACCCAAAGGACTACGCCCCGTTTGGTGTAGTGGTTAAGTGCGCAGACTCTAATCTGGGAGAACCGGGTTTGATTCCCCACTCCTCCACTTGCACCTGCTGGGTGACCTTGGGCAAGCCGTAGTTCTGGCACAGCTGTCCTTGAAAAAGAGCAGTTTCTGTCAGAGCTCTCTCAGCCCCACCTCCCTCACAGGGTGTCTGTTGTGGGGAGGGGAAGGGAAAGGAGTTTGTAAGCCGCTCTGAGACTCCTTTGGGTAGTGAAGGGCGGGGTATAAATCCACCAATCTCTTCTTCTTCTTTTACCTCACAGGGTGTCTGTTGTGGGGAGGGGAAGAGAAAGGAGTTTGTAAGCCGCTCTGAGACTCCTTTGGGTAGTGAAGGGTGGGGTATAAATCCAATCTCGTCTCTTCTTCTTCTCTTCAAAGTGACTCAACAAAAAAATGAATAAATACAATGATAGAATAAACCAGAAAAAGAATGAGATTACAGGCTGGTCCTGCTCACTGAGTCTGGCTAACACAGGCTCCATGCCATGAGCCACAGGGCTAAGAGCCAAAGGTCCAGTACCCTTTGGCTCTTGCCTTTCAGCTCATGCCCGAGGTCTCACACCTCTGCCCAAGTTGTAAGTACCTGCAGGAAGAGGAACATAAAACTTAGCTCAGATGGAACTCAGGTATTGCTCACTCCCTGCCCCCCCTTCCCAGGTTGCTTGGATCACACGAATACTTCCCATCCCAAAACTACACTTCCATCAGAGTTGCTAACAACAAGTATCTGTGTGGTGCATTGTGATGGAAGAGCTAACCACAGTGGAGAGCAGCAGGTCTGTTGCGAAAACAGTGTGTAAAGTAGGCCGAAGAGTGACTGACTGACATACCTGGTTTTTTCCCTGAGGTCAGAATGGTGAGTGACTTGGGTAGGGGGTGTTCTACCTTTCCCTTCAGCACCTGATTTGGCTTGCTCTTTACTTGACTCACCTGAGACTAGTCAATAGTCACTCTCTGCAGTGCAATGGTATTCAGATTGCTGCTCTCCATGGTCCATATGGGTCTGTAGTCAGGCTTGTGAATGGATGGTTGCTGTGTACACCACTTTGGTGTAGTGGGTTAAGTGCGCGAACTCTAATCTGGGAGAGCCGGGTTTGATTCCCCACTCCTCCACTTGCACCTGGCTGGATTACCTTGGGCAAGCTGTAGTTCTGGTAAGAGCTGTTCTTGAAAAAAGAGCAGTTTCTGTCAAGAGCTCTCTCAGCCCCACCTACCTCACAGGGTGCCTGTTGTGGGGAGGGGAAGGGAAAGGAGTTTGTAAGCCACTCTGAGACACCTTTGGGTAGTGAAGGGTGGGGTATAAATCCAATCTCTTCTTCTTCTTCTTTTACCTCACAGGTGTCTGTTGTGGGGAGGGGAAGGGAAAGGAGTTTGTAAGCCGCTCTGAGACTTCTTTGGGTAGTGAAGGGCGGGGTATAAATCCAATCTCTTCTTCTTCTTCTTCTTTTACCTCACAGTGTGTCTGCTGTGGGGAGGGGAAGGGAAAGGAGTTTGTAAGCCGCTCTGAGACACTTTCGGTAGTGAAGGGTGGGGTATAAATCCAATCTCTTCTTCTTCTTCTTTTACCTCATGGGGTGCCTGTTGTGGGGAGGGGAAGGGAAAGGAGTTTGTAAGCCGCTCTGAGACCACTTTGGGTAGTGAAGGGCGGGGTATAAATCCAATCTCTTTTTCTTCTTCTTTTACCTCACAGGGTGTCTGCTGTGGGGAGGGGAAGGGAAAGGAGTTTGTAAGCCGCTCTGAGACACTTTCGGTAGTGAAGGGTGGGGTATAAATCCAATCTCTTCTTCTTCTTCTTTTACCTCATGGGGTGCCTGTTGTGGGGAGGGGAAGGGAAAGGAGTTTGTAAGCCGCTCTGAGACCACTTTGGGTAGTGAAGGGCGGGGTATAAATCCAATCTCTTTTTCTTCTTCTTTTACCTCACAGGGTGTCTGCTGTGGGGAGGGGAAGGGTAAGGAGTTTGTAAGCCGCTCTGAGACACCTTTGGGTAGTGAAGGGTGTGGTATAAATCCAATCTCTTCTTCTTCTTCTAGGTGGGGTTGTGCTTAGAAATTGCCATGCAATGGGGCAGGGAGGAAGGTACTTTTGTGAGGGCCTTGGGTTCCTTTACCATTCAGGAGACAGTACCAGTATGAAAAACTGGATGTGGTCATTTCACTGTAGCTCCAAGAGGAGATATATAGCTGAGACTGCAGCTCCTCTCCTGTAAAAATGTAGCAAGCCTGCACACTGAAAGATGTTTAGGTTTCTTTATTTTGGCAGGAGCAAAATTTATGGGTGGGAAAGTTTACATTCAGACTTCTCAAGGTAACAGATGTCCTACCCAAAGTCCCAGCATGATGGGTAGGTGCAGGTTTCTATGAGTGATTTGAGTGAGACATTCTGTGGGTTCTTGGGTCATGGAATCCACCTGCTAGCTTCAGCAGAAATGTTGTATTTCATCAAAGTACCTTTAAAAATGATGTTTGACACCTCCAGACAGCAAAGCAACCAGCAACAGAGTCTCAGAGCAGACATAGATTACGAGGAGATCTTGCATGTAGGTAGGAATCTCTCCAGAAGGGAGCTGTCCCTGTTCAGAAAGGAATTGCTCCCAGCAGCATCCTTTACCTTGGTGACACAGCATTTGACACCTCGAAGGGCCCACCGGCTTCTGTGTTCCTGTCGGAACTGCACACTTCCAAACTGCTTAATGGCTGACAGTATCTATCTGACCGTCCTTTATCACAACGGTAAACTATCCAGAGTGCTCCGGGCACTTCATTTTCATGAAATATGAGGCTATGCTATTGTCAAGCCAACAGAAGAGTTTATGACAAATTCCTCTTCTAGCTCCAGTTCAGAAGCGGGCTTCGGCATGATGCATGGGGACAGCAACATGTGCTATCATCAGGGGGCTGGTAAAATTGATGAAGATAGCATATCTGGGAAAGATAAACATGCTGTAGTCAGCACAGTTAGGGCAAAGAGGCATCTCTCCAGAGCTTTGGGTTTAGGAACACCTCGGCACACAATGGCAGAAAACACATGACATGAAATAACCAACTTGTTTTACTCCTTACTTAATCAGGTCAGAGATAGCAGTCTCTTACACTGAGAGGCTAGGGGAAAGAACCTCCCACTTCTCTTAAGGCTGGTTATTAGTTGAGCAAAGGAGCATTATGACTCTTGCTTTCAGTTAATTCCATATCCAGGTCCTAAGTGTATTTGTAAAAAAAAAAAAGAGAGCTGCTTCACAAGTCGCATATTTTAGCTTTACGGTGAAGATATTTTATATGTAACAATTCAAATGCATGTATCTGTCCTATTTGTTTGTGTAAATATTTGTTCAAATGCATGCATCATCCAGGGGCATTTGTCAGGAAGTCACAACTGGCTGAGGTTCTAGACCTGTTCACATGCTATACCAAACACACATACAGACTGAATGTATGTTCATATACCTGTTCATAAGAAAGAGCCAATGAACATTTACTTTCCTAATGAAATTGGAGACTATTACCTGGGTGAACATGGGGTGTCAATGACACATGCAGCTGTACATACACTGAATGTAATATGAGAATTAGAGAAAGCATGTATAAGGAAAAATCATCAGTACCTTGTAACATAGATTCTATGTGCGTTCACTCTAACTTGTGAACAGGGCTTGGTGACAAACCAGGTTTGTCACCATATAATGTTTAAAATTGTCCTAAATTTGAAAGAACCCACAGCTTCTCAGCTGCATTGCCTTTTTGTTTGTTTGTTTGTTTGCTTAAATAGATGCAAAAGTCTAGGCCTGGCCTGAACCCTCAAGGCTGGCTTGCTTCTGCAAAACTGAACCAAGCATGAAGACGTAGCAAAGATTTGCTTTAGCCCTGCTTTGGCTGAAGGATTTGCGGCACTCTGTCCTCTTGGACACACAAAAAACGTAGTCTCTCCTGGCTTCGATCCCACCTAGATTCTGTGAGCACAAGGGACGCTGATTTCCCCCCTCCTCCAGGGAAATCTCCAAACCCACCCCCCTGAAGGTAGTCCTGGGGATTCCATGTCTCTCAGCAACAGCATTTCAGGGGTGTTCTGGGCAACCACAGGAGGGGGGAACCTTTCCAGGCCTATTTTGGCCTTTGTGGGGAACTCATTGGGGCCAGTTCTGACTAGGGTTTCCAGCTCCAGGTTGGGAAATTCCTGGAGATTTTGTGGTAGAGTCTAAGGAAGCCAGGTTTTGGGGGAGGGGCCTCAGCTGAATAGAATGCCTTAGAGCCCATCCTCCAAAGCAGTTATTTTCTCCTGGGGAACCATTGCTGCCAATCTCCAGGTGAGTCCTGGAGATCACTCAGAATTACAACTGCTCTCCAAATGGCACAGATCAGTTCCCCTGGAAAAAATAGTAGACTGTGTCATTATACTTTGCTGAGGTGGACCCCCTGTGACAGCCAGTGTGACACAGCAGTTAGCACTTCAAACCAGGTTCTTCCTGTGGAAACTGATTGGGTGATTTCAGACCACTCACAGACTTTCAGCCTAACCTACCTCATAGGGTTGTTGTGCAGATTGAAAG